GGAAGGACCCTGATATGGTAAAAATGGTCAACATGATACAGAATTGCAGCAATTTGGGAATCATTGTCTTAGGAAACCTAGTAGATACGGTGACGGCAGGCATTGGTTGCTAGAACAGAATTCAGTTTCCCAAAACCTTCACCTCAAGATTAATAGCACATAGATCAGCAAAGATCAACTTTAACTACTTTTCCCTTTTTTCCTAGGGAAATCCTTCTTCTCAGAGGCAAGCAGCATCTTCTAATGCTCAGCACTCCATATTTCACCACCCCCATCCTTTACTGTACAGCTCAGACTGCGACCAGGTCAGATGCCATCATGCTTATCCTCATAGAGTAGAATGACATGAAATGTCATTATTGAAGATGACCACAAGTTTGGTGATGTTTTCTCACTGAGAGGTTGTGTCTATACCACTTTCCTTCTTTCCTGTGAATCTGAACAGGCATGTGACTACTTTGATCAGGAGAATACAGACTACTTTGATCAGTGGAAGTGGTGCTACTAATTTTGCTCCACTACCAGCTTCCTGTCTCTTGGAAAACTCTCTATAGGAGCCCTGAGATACTATGTAAGAAATCCAACCACTTTGAAACCATCATATTGTAAAGGCCACGTGTGGCATTTGGTCAATAGTCCTGGGTAAACCTAGCCTCCTAGCCATCTCAACCAGTCACCATTTTCTCTAAGGTCCTATCATTTCCAAAGCACCAAGAGGCCTTCTTGGGCCTTCCAGACCAGCACATTTGCAACTGAACACTATCAAGTAATCTCTGTGAATATCCACTGGAATACAATAATCTCCTTATTCAAATTTCTAACCCAGGAAAACCATGACATATAATGCAATCCTATTGTTTTATGCTACTAACCTTAGATATTGATTTGTTGTGCAATAGTAAATATTTGAAATAGAACCAAATAATTCTGAATACAAATAACTCTAAAAGGACCATCAAGAAACTTACTTCCTAGTAGTCCTGACAACTGTGAAGTTTAACAGAAAGGCAACTTTGAAATGTGACCTGGAATATATAAAACCTAATGCAAATATTCAGTACACTAGTTTCTCTTGGTTTGTTGGATTTAAATTCCACTTCTTGGGATGAATTACAGAAGCTTTCTGAGCTTCAGTTTCTTATTCATCAAAATGGAGATTAAAATACCCAATCATCTCACAAAGCTGCAAGATGATAAAATAATTACAAGGGAAGAGAGAATTAGAAAGAGAAAGCTGATGTCAACTGAGTACCTAGTATATGCCAGATATTTCTCCTGCTCCACTGCAGTGTGGTGACAAGAGCACAGACTTGCATTCAAGACAGTAAGTGATATTAACAGCAAGATATTAAATAAGCCATCAACAACTCTGAGAATTTTTTTGGAATGTGATAATTAAGGAGATTATTACTTATACTAACATCACTGGGTTATTGAAAATTAAAGTTAAATATGTTCATTGCTCTTAAGAGACATAGCGAAGTTAAAAACTGCCTGGAAATATTAAACAACTGATGGTGACTGATAATGACAACAAAGCTATTACTTTACTGGACTGAATACCTCTGTTAGAGTAGGTATCTACGCAGACATGAACAGGGCAAGAGAGTGTCACTCCCAGCAATGTCAGGTGACCATTAGTAGATGGTCAGGCAGATGTTAAACTTGCTCTAAAATAATAATTGGTTGTGGCTGGTGCCAGGGAAAGGCAGTCTCCAAATAGAAACACCCGAAGCTGGTGATCAGCAGCTTCCTGATAAGATCACAGGAGATGGGTGAGTGGAGCTCAAGCATGTGCACTAATAGGCAAAATGGCAGAGTTTAACTGGTATATGACCTTCTTGCAACTCTTGACTGGTAAGGGGAAAAACACCTCAAGTGAGCATGTACACAACTTCAGTAAGCACATTGCACATGCAGCCCCTCCCACGTGCTGGCCGGCCACTGTGCATGCAGACAGCCTCCTCCAAGGAAGAATCAGGGGAGAAGAAACACAAACCTTGAAAGCATACCAATGTATTATTGTAAAACCCCAAGTCAAGGGTCAGATGGGGCACTTGGATTTCTCAAGGCACCTGACTGGCCCTCTTCCAAGTATACTTTACTTCCTTTTGTTCCTGCTCTAAAACTTAATAAACGTACACTCCTGCTCTAAAACTTCCTTAGTCTCTCACTCTACCTTCTGTCTCTCAGCTAAATTCTTCCCTCAGAGAAAGCAAGAATAGAGTTGCTACAGACCCATATGTAGTTGTCACTGGTAATGTCTCTAGATATATATTTCAGTTATAAGTATTTGTAATTTGTGGTGACCACAATGATGGAATTTACAGGGAAGATGCTTGTTCCTTAAATTCCATCTCTGCTTGGTCACTCAGGAAGCCAGGTCTGGGAACTATAATATTCAGGCTCAATTTACTGTTAAATGTCTGCCTCCAAATGACCAGAGGTCATGCTCAACTTCCTACTCTTTGGTACTGCTGAGTAAAATTAACCAAGTCATACAGGAATTTGTAGATACCATTGAGACTACTGTTCTTACCATACCTATAATTTTATAGGGCCAGCATTTGTTTATTTTTTTAGAAGATTTATTTTGTGTAATAGAGTATAGTAGCATGAGTGGCTGAGCAAGAAAATCGTTAGTAAAAAATCATGTCAGAGATGTGGAACCTTGCCCCTAGTTCTGATACAACCATAGTTTTGCTGTATGACCTTGAGAAAATCACTCACCGCAATGAGCTTCCACTTCCTCCTCCACACAAAGGTAATATTGAACCCTGATTGACTGTCCCATTATGAAGTAAAATAAAATAATGTATGGAAAAGTATGAGGAAAATAACAAATATACTTGCAAATGGGAGGCATATCTATAGTACTACCACCAAAATCACTTATTCTTATGGAGTCAAATTATTTTCCGTGGTTAATCTGGGCACAAGTGACCACAAAAATCAGAGCCATTAAGTGTATGCATTCGGCTTTTCCACCAAAAGCATGGTAGCCCTAGGATGTAAAACTCTAAATTATGTTCCTCCTGTTTCTCCCAGCTGACTAGATGTATTGAGAATTTAGGCTCTACAAACAATTTCCTGATACCATATTTGCTTTGACACTTTCCAGAAACTTGTCTTTGGCTAAGTGATATAACTCTCTAGGCTTCCTTTTCTGTATTTTAACAATGGGTGTTTACTCAACAAATATTTAAAGAGGGCCTCAGTACGTATGACACAACTTCTCTGAGCTGGTAAACAGGAATGCACCAAATAGAAAAATATCTTGGCCTCTTGAACTAATGTTTAAGGGAGAAAAAATGTAATTGGCATATGGTAGATGGGATTGAGACAACAATGAAGGGGGAAAGAAAATATTAGGGAAGGTTGAGAGTTTGATATGGCAAAGGAAGGTTTCACTAAGGTGTTGGGTGAATCATTGAAGAAAGTGAGAGATTCATTTATGAATATCATAATTAATAATATTCCAGCAGATAGAATAGCAGGTGCAAAGGTCATGAGACCGAAATGTGCCTGAAATGCTCATAGATCCACAAGGAAGCCAGTGTGGCTAAAGGAACATAAGTGAAGAGGAGGATAGGAAGAATTACAGTTACGGGGACAGAGAGGATTATTATAATATTATAATGTTGGGTGGATTAATAACATAATGCAAAAAGCTTTTTGCCGATAACAAGTGCTCAAGAAAAACAGTTATAATAATGTTGATTATAATGATCAATTGGAAATTAAATGATATGATGAAATAACTAATTCCAGGTAAATCCTTCCAGTTACAGGGTTTCTAAAACTGCTAAAATGATTGTGACAAGTGGATATATTACATTCTAACCAACTTTTCCATTTATTATTCATGTCTTGGACAAAGTACCAACACTTCCCAAATAAGAAAATGCTAATGGTACTAATGGTTAAAAAAATTGTGTATATACTATGGAATATTATGCAGCCATATTAAGGAATAAGATCATGTCCTTTGGAGGGACATGACTAGAGCTAGAAGCCTTCATCTTCAGCAAACTAATGCAGGAACAGAAACCCAAACACCACATGGTCTCACTTACAAGTGGGAGCTGAACAATGAGAACACATGGACACAAGAAGGGGAACACCACACACTGGGGCCTGCTAGGGGGTGGGGTGTGGGCAGGGAGAGCATTAAGAAAAATAGTTAATGCATGCTGGGCTTAACCTAGGTAATGGGTTGATAGGTGCAGCAAACCACTATGGCACACATTTACATGTGTAATGAACCTGCACATCCTGTGCACAGTACCCCGAAACTTAAAACAAAAATTAAAGTTGATTTAAAAAACTTGTGTATACATCATGTGGCCAGAGAGAAACTGAGAGAGTGTGCAAAGGCTGAACCTAATGGGGTAAAATGTTAACAGTCGGTAATTCTGGGTGACATGTATATGAAGGTCTTTTATACTATTCATAGTCTTTAAATATATCTGTAAATTTCAAACTGTTTTCAAACGCATACTTTTTTAAAAGAAAAAGAGAAAACCATAGGGGCAAATTCGTAAGTTCTGCACTGGATGGAGCCGGGGTATATCAAGCAGCAGTTTGAGCATTTGGTAGCACAGAAACATTGGCTTTCTTCTTCTACATGAGTTAGGTCTACCATTAGGCCACAGAGAGAACCAAATGGGTTAACTAAGGCTAATTTAGAATTTTTTTCACAAGTATTTTGTAATACTAAAAAAAAAAAAAAAACTTGTCTGCCTGCCAGAGTGCTTAGCGCAAAGTAGGTTTTCAATAAAGAGACAGGTATCCATAATTGACAGGAAACATTGGCTTTATAGGGGAAGTTGTTACATCTGTATGAATATTCCTTACAGCGACATTTCTCAAAGTGTGCTGGTAGAGAATGTGCATCAAAATAAGGTGGCCTAGAACGATATTGCCTGAACTCAAACCCAAGCTCTGCCACTTGCTAGACCGCCCTTGGATAAACAACTCCATCTCCATTGCTCTCCTACATGGCAGAGGCAGAGCAGATGAAGAAGTGGACGTTCTGCAAGTTTACCTACCATGGCGTGGACCTGGACCAGCTGCTGGAGCAGCTAATGAAGCTGTACCGTGAGCGCCAGTGGCAGCGGCTGAACCCCGGCCTGAGGCGGAAACAGCGTTCGCTGCTGAAGCGCCTGCGCAAGGCCAAGAAGGAGGCGCCACCAGTGGAGAAGCCAGAAGTGGTGAAGACACACCTGCAGGGCATGATCATCCGGCCGGAGATGGTGGGCGTCTACAACAGCAAGACATTCAACCAGGTGGAGATCAAGCCAGAGATGATCAACCACTACCTGGGCGAGTTCTTCATTGCCTATAAGCCCATGAAGCAAGGCTGGCCAGGCATCGGAGCCACCCACTTCTCCCGCTTCACCCCCCACAAGTAGTGCCTTAGCTAGTAAAGGCACATATATCTAAAAAAAAAATGGATAACAAAATGTAAATTTTTGACTTTAAATAACTTAACATTTATAAAATGCTTATAACAGTGTCTGACATATAATAAACACTATATGAGTGTTTGTTAGAAAAACTAAAATCACCTGGGGTGAGGAAGAGGGCTTGATACTGTGTAGATTTCCGGATTTCACTCAGGACTGAATGAATCAGAAGTTCTTGAGCCTGTGGCATTTTAACAAGCTCTCCAGATAATTCTTAAAGACATTAAAGTTTGAAAGCCACTGCTTTAGCTATTAGCATCCTTGATGAACTGATTCCATAGGGACAACTAATATAGTAAAATCCAACTTTACTCTGTATGTTAGTGCCTTAGGTCTGCAAAATCCCCAAATCCCTTAGGGAGATTTCTCTCCAAATTAAATTAAATAGACCAATAAAACCTGCTTCTGTAATGATTAGCATCTCAAATCATGGTTCTGAGTAGGCGAATTTCCTTGACTTGTTTTATCCAGGTGGCTTCTCTTTCTTGATCAATTTCCCCAGGATAAATGTTACTCACTGTCCATGTCTTTGCTTGTCAGAATACTGGATATAATTGGGACTACTGGAAGTGTGGAATACAGCCCTTCTCCCTAAATATCCTGTACAGTTTCTGTGTCTGGTAGGAGAGAAGCCATAATAGAAGAAAGCAGCTTAAATGGTTATACAAAAAAATATCAATTAGGCATGAAAATTTCAGCAGTTGGAGGGGTGGAGGATTGTATGTGTGTGTGTGTGTGTGTGTGTGTGTGTGTGCACATGTATGTTTGTGTGTTTTCCCAGAAGGAAATTTAGAGTGGCTACAGAAAGTTGCCATTTTTCATATTTATTTTGTCATTGGAGTCAACTTCTACAGTTCAAACGACTCTCTTATGATGCAGAAAAAAATGAGTCCATATTATGAAGAGAAAGTTTCATGTTAAAGGTGACAAAGCCCACAGAGGCCAAGGCACTGGTTTCGGTGGCCATTTGAGCAAAGGAGAGGCAGTGGAGCTAGGCTGCCAGCTTGCTGTTGTTTCTGAGAAGTAGTGACTTTGTGATTGTAAAGCCTCAAAGGAACCTGAAATAGGTATTCAGTTTTTTAATAAAGTTGTGACTGTCATAATGCAAAGTATTAATTTAACCACTGAACTGGAATTAATAATAATAATTGTAATAATGTTATGAGCTGAATTGTGTCCCCCTAGAGTTTTATATGCTGAAGTCCTAACAGCCAATATTTCAGAATGTGACTGCATTTAGATAAAGAGTCTTTAAAGAGGAAAGTAAATTAAAATGAAATAATTAGGATGAGCTCTAATCCAGTGTGCCTGGGTGTTCTCATAGGAGGAAACTTGGACATGTACTATACAAAGGGAACACCATGTGATGATATAAGGAGAATACAGCCATATACAACCCAAAGAGAAAGGCTTCAGAAGACACCAACCCTGTGGACACCTTGACCTTAAACTTTCACCCTCCAAAAAGTTTTTGCTGTTTAAGCCACCCAAGAGATGGTACTTTGTTATAGAAGCTCTAGAAAATTAATACAATAATAGTAACTACAAGAATACTAACATTTAATAATTCACATTTCACTGAAGATTTATCTCATTAAAAATCATATAAAAATCCATAAATGCTTACTCTGAAAGAGGCACCATTAATATCATCAGTGCCATTTACAAATAAAGTCCAGAGAGGTTAGGTAATTCACATGAAGTCCCCTTATTAACAAACACGAAGGCAGAAATTCTACCCATAACTTCTTACTAAGAGGATCACACTCATTTTATTGCCCTACATGGCTTTCCACAGGAACTGGACTCTATGGAACCTCAGGCAGGAAGAGATACTAGATGCAGCATCTGCCTCTAGACTGACTATCTTCAGGCCTGGGGGTCAGTGAGCAGCTGGGACACTTTGAGGGACCATTTCTGATACCTATGGTTCCCTTCTCAGCCTTGGCCATATCCGTTTAGGAAGAGAGAGAACATTAGGAACATTTCTTTGTCATCTCTTTGTTCCCTCAATACTCCCACATTTGGCTGGAAAAGAGTAATAATCTGAGTATTTCTCCTGCCTTTCAGTGGCCTTCATTTTGTCCCAGATTGAGAAGAGTTGAAAACCAAAATAATAGTGAATCCTTTCCCTAAATTTCTTACAACTCAGGCTGGTCTCTCTTAGATCAAAGAAAGATGCATGAGAGATTACTCTGTATTGTCCCATTTTCAGAAATTATGTATTGCCTACTGCTGAGGTAAGGGAGTTATGCCTGTGAGTAAGTGTGGGCCTGGAGTGGGAGGATAGACTTTAGTTTTGTGGGTGGCTTTCAGCACAGGTGCATTGACCTTGATGTCTCAGGAGATAATGTAGACATTGTCAACTCTGAAATGCTCACCACTTTGATCTCTCCTGGAAAGCCTCTCCATCTGATCCCTTCTCAAATCCTCCAACTTGCACATTAAAGTTTGGTTCTTATGCATTCTCCTTCTTGCCATTTTTCTGACAAATTCAACTGGAATCTCTATATATCAATATCATGAAATATTCAACCTAATGGTATGTCATATTCTCTTAAATAAAGCAGTGTTCATAAGACTACCAAATCTGCGCTTAGCTTCTAAAATATACCTGAGATCAGGGAACTGAGACTCATTTCTTTCTAACTCTTACATTAAGACTTTGCTCAAAACTTAGCAGATTTCATTTGCCAATTTATCATGCATTGTTATATACCACTCAACCAATTACTGTCTCAAAATATTGTCTTGTTCTTTCATCACTGTTGAAATTTCCATTTATTTTTATCTTTTCTTGTCAGCTAGATTGCAATATTCTGTTTTTTTGTTTTGTTTTGTTTTTGTTTTGATACAAAGTCTTGCTCTGTCTCCCAGGCTAGAGTGCAGTGGCATGATCTCAGCTCACTGCAACCTCCTCCTCCTAGGTTCAAGCATTTCTTCTGCCTCCGCCTCCTGAATAGCTGGGATTACAGTTGCCTGCCACCATGCCCAGCTAATTTTTGTATTTTCAGTAGAGATGGAGTTTAACCATCTTGGCCAGGCTGGTCTCAAACTCCTGACCACATGATCCTACTGCCTTGGCCTCCCAAAGTGCTGGGATTATAGGCATGAGCAACCACGCCCGGCCAGATAGCAGTATTCTTTAAGACATTATTGGCCCTCTCAAGGATAAGGTGACCAATGTTTTTCATAGATCATTGTATTGCTTTTCCATGCTGCAGTAACAAATCATCACAAACTTAGTGCCTTCAAATAATACAAATTTATTATCTTACAGTTTGGTAGGTCACAAGTCCAACATCAGTTTCACCAGAATAAAATTAAGGTGCCAGTGGGAAGGCCCTCTAGAGGCTCTAGGGGAAAAAAATCCATCTCCTTGTTTATTCATATTACTGACAAAATTCAGTTCTTTGCAAGTAGTTATAGGACTGAGGTCCATGTTTCATTGTGAATACATCTGAAAGTATTTCCCAGCTTCTAGAGGCTGCCCACATTCTAGAGCTTATGTGTCCCTTTCTCTAGCTTTATCATTTCTCTTAGAGTGACTTTTCTTCTTTCCTCTTATGCTTTTAAGAGCCAATATGATTACATTAGGCCCACATAGATAATACAGGATTATCTCTCAACTGACTTCCAGCCTCAGTTCCCCTTTGCCATAAAAGATACCAGACTCACAAGTTCTGGGGGTTGTGAACATGTTGGGGGAGTCACTGTTCTGCCCACCACAGTCTTTCAAGAGGATAATTGCCAGGGTGAGATCCTGAGCGGGTGATGTATGAAATTCTGCTTCGGGCAGTTCTGAACACAAATTGAATTCAGCCACAGAGCTAGCACCTCCTGAGAAAGTGGCAAGCTCCTAACTTCTGTACGTACAAGAAGAACTACGTTTGATCTTTTAGGAACAAAGATGATAAATGTAAAGGGGCCCCCCTGGGCTGCTCCACTTGACACTAATGATAGTGCCTGTGAGATGTCTCCAAAGGAGACTGACTGCTCACACTTGAAATCCTTTTCAAATTCAAACTCTAAAACGTTACCCAACACTTGGTTTCTTATGATGATATTTAAAGACATATTTTATCCAATAAATCAAAACTAAATACAGTAAAGTATAAGCAACTTTATTTATTGACTTCCTCTAAATCTGACTATGAACAGTTTGATGCCTGAGGTGACTCTTATTTCTCTGCACTCAGTACAGCTGTTCAGCCCTTCCTATTGCGATCAAACATATCTTTCTAAAAGAACTGATTTTGTTCCTAAAGCAAGGCAAAGACAAAAAGTAGCAACTGAAGGTTTCTTCTAAATGTATGGTCAATCACAGGAAGGTAATGTCAAAGGTGCTGTACAACAAAACTGAAGGGCAAATGATGATCTTAGTAAAACCAGTCTTCAGGAACCATGCAGTAGTTCAACTTATTCTACAGAGCCTTCTTTCTAGGCATCTCTGAGCTGTGTCTATGTATTGTTATGGGCACAGTGCTGGCCACAAACGGGGTTTGGCATAGCAGGTAAAAAAATCGCCATGGACAATGCTGCTGCAGAGAACCACGGATCAAGTGGACAATGTGAGAGGACTCTGGAGGTCGTGTACATCTAAGGGACTGCAATGCCCAAGGTCAATTTATCTCACAAATGTTCATTGGTCACTGGCATATTCCAGACATTGTTCCAGGTTTTGAATTAAGTATAAAAAAGTCCTCAATTTTAACAAGTTGACAGCTTAGTGGAAGACCAATTAAGATATTTACTCAGCAGACAATGAGACGTGCTCAGTTAGAGGTAGCATAGATTTGGAAGCACAGAGGAGGGTCCAGATAGTGTTTAAGAAAGTATTGTTGCAAAAAGAAATGGGCATTTAGTTAAGTGTTGAAGAACCAGAGGGAGGTGCACGAGAATATAAACATGGGGAAAGTAACTGAACCCAAGGCAGTGGGGCAGGAAGTGTTGCAGGAGCTAAAGCTGAAGTAGAGAGAACCAAGTCATGGA